CGTTTCCCTAGGTCAGGCTGCACAGCTAGCTCGCTGTAACTTCAGCTTATTTGGCTGATCGAGATCTGAAATACCACATCAGGCTCTGGGTGTCCTTCAGTAATCACAGCACCACATCACACACCCAAGGCAAATACAGGTTTTCAGAGGGGGGTGCACAGCTTGCTTAAGGATAAGGATGATTGCATGCCCAGATCCATCCCTTTACCTCTGTGACCAAGATCTTTCTAGGATGGAGACTTAAGCACCAAGGTCAGATCCTCTTTTCATGGCCAGGAGCACAGTCCCATTATCTTCTCACTCTGCTTCTCCATGTGGTCAACCAGCTGTGGCAGAGACTCACCACCCACTCAGCTGGTTTGTTGCTGTTTGCCTTGCTGAAACTCTACCCTGTTTTGTTATGCAAAAGATTGTACAAAGAGTCCCTTCCATGCAGCAGCAACACAAACATTTCTAAATGAGACCAGCCAAACCCAGAGGCAGATACTGGTTCAGTCTATAGGGAGATGCAAATTATTCCACCGCATGCTTGACTGCCAGGAGGAGTTTTGCAAATGCTTTAATGAAGCCTGGACTGCACCAAGGCAAGGATGTCAGAAATTAATTCCTGATGTTCTCCAGTACTGAAGCAGCTCTTCATCTCTTTTTCCATCCAACTTGTTTTGTTTTGCTTCTTTTCTCTTTAGGAAACAAGTGCATAAGTGATTACATGGACAGAAACAAAACCAGTAAAAAGAGTATGAGAGAAAACGCCTTCAGCCGACTGGTGGAAGTTGAGGCAAGCAACGGTTGTAAGGAGGCAGCCGCCTTGCAAAGCCAGGACTCCCAGGGCAGAGTTTGGTCACTTAAAGATTTACCACAGCAGACTGACTTAAAAATACATAAACCAGCTGGCCCTGAAACGCCTGTGTTCCGTATCTACCCACTGCTGACAAACACCAGCCATTTTTACATAGCCTTAGGAAAGCTCATTCTCTGCAAATCATTAGTTTATGCAATTATGGTTTTCTCTGTTGAATGTGACATGTGCAAAGGTCATTGCTGGAGATGGGAAAGGAGCTTCTGTTCCCAGAACAGGCCAAATTCCACATTTGGCCAGAACAGGAGATATGCTTGTCCTTTGGCTGGCAGAACACGTGTTCTCCCACACATCACCTGCCTTTGGCTGTCTGCTTTGCTGTGGCCCCTCTCCCAACAGCCATATGCTCTCCCACTGGGCTTCACACTGGGACTTCAAGTGAGAAACGTAATGCTGTTAATAAAAGCTGCTTGCACAACTTATTCACATGCCTGGAAGGTGTGAATGGCATCTCGGCTCCAGTGGCCCAAGCATCAAGTAGCAGTCACTGGAAATGAGCAGGTCTCCCGGAACCTTAGGGGTCTTGGTAGCCTACTTTGGGACCAAAGGGTGAATGTACCATGTCCAGCTCTATCAATAGGATACTTACACCAGACTGGGATTTAAATGTTTGAAAAATCAGGACAAAGGTCCTGCTCTGGAAAAACACCAGAAACAACCGAGCAGTCAAAGATAAAAGCATAAGGACCAGTCTTTGGGATCATGTTTCTCTAGTTCATGGAAGGGCAGGTGAGAACGTGGCTGGACTCTAGGCTCAGAACACAGTGCCAAATCTTTCCTCTACATGGGACACTGAACAGGGTGAAGACCAAGCCCAAGACCAACAACCAAAGAAGAACTGAGCAGATACAGCTCCTTTAAAAGCTTTACCCAGTGCTATACTTGAAATCTGGTGCTGGCCCATTCCTTGGTGGTGTCCCACCAAGGCCATACCCCTTTTTTCTCTCATTTAGCACTGCCAACACACAAAAAACCAAGTAAACATCTTCCTGCACGGAGTGGTTTAAAGAAGCTGTGCCTAATAGACCATCTATCTCATTGCTATTTGTTTTGGCATCTTTGACTATTTTAAATCCTACTTAAAGCTGTCTAACAACCAAGATTACACCAGTCACAACTTCCATACAAACATTTCTGTTGCTATCTGTACACTGGAAACACTGTGATTTTTTTTTTCCCTCTACTTTTGCTAGTACAACACTGGCAGCAAATCACACCAAGGTAGGAGGGTGGGGTATGATGATAATTATGATGACAGAATCCACGGTATGACACCAACATCACCTGCTGGTACCAGACACTGTGGAAGCCTGTGTAGGCTTGTAACACACAGGCATACTGAGTAGGATCCACAGGTACTCAGTTTAATAGCTATCGCTCAGCGCTGCCATCCAATTCCCCTCTGAATAATCAGACAGGCTTGGCTGGTGCCAGGCATAACAGACATCGCCTCTCACATCAGACCCTGCTGAGAGCAGCTCCAGAGGGGCCGGCCTTCCTATACAAGGACAGGATTTGAGCTACGAAGCAAAGTGTCCAAAAGGATTTTGACAAAGTGACATTTAAATCAAGGTTGAAAATCCATCCAACCGTGTTGCGTGGCTGCTGCCAGTCTCTGGCTGTTTCCAGTCTCCTGGATGCATGAACAAAGCTACCCCCAGTCTCCAAAAAGAGCAAGGAGGGGTTTTGTGATGCAAAATTTAGGGCGGTGAGCCACGTGAGTTCAGTTGACATGTGTCAATGAAATCACCTCCTTGCGAGCATTCCTCTGCCTGCCTCGTGCAGCCCTTCCCAGCAACTCCCCAGCTGCACAGCTTTTCACAGGAAAGGCTGTTCTGCAAAACAGGGCTTTTGTATAGAAATGCTTTGATTTTGATGAAATCTCCAGTTTACTTCTTCAGAAGTTTGTTTGTAAAAACTGAATTTCCCCATCAGTTTTCCATTTCAAAATTATTCTGCCATGTATTTTACCAATCTTAGAAATGAAAAGATTCATCTTGGATTTAGAGTAAAACATTTAAAAAAAAAAAAAAAAGACAAAAAAAAAAAAAGCAAACACTAAAACTTCCCAGATTTCATTAAAGGAAGTAGCTACTTTGAGTCAGCATCTAGGATTCAATCTAGAATTCCTAGGAAACTCTAAAATGGGACATTTCCTGCCATTTCACATCAGGCACACTTTGACCTCCCAGACTCCCGACCACAAAGTGCTCTAGCTCCTCCCCTGTTTTACCACAATACAGTCCTCACAATTGCTCTGTTTCAGACTGTTTCCGGACACTCAAAGCATTTGCTCTGCACAGGTGTGAATGCACAGGGATGCCTTGCAGAAGATTGCCAGCAGCCATCACATAAATGCCCCTACCTCCAGGCTGACACCCTCCTAGCGAAGGAACCCAGGGGACCACTGAAGAAGGGACTGCAGAAGGAGATGCACCCAGGGCTGCCCCTAGCAGCTGCCAGATACTCACTTCCCAGCTTGTGCCACCAGCATCTGGCCTACAGCATATAGTACAGTTTCCCTAGGAATGCGTGAACCTAGCTCAAAAACCCTCAAAACCACCACGTAAGGTCTTGTTAGCTTTGCCTTTACCAACAGCACAAGTCCAGACCTCAGAAGCCAGCATGTGGCTTACAGCACACCCAGGGCCCTTTTTTCCATTTAAAAAGCTCCATCTCTTTGTGTCTCAACTTGCTTGCTTTGCTTTGTGGTGGTTGTTTTTTTCCCACCTAAAGTCAGGGCAGGAATTCTATCAATCTCCCAGCAGTTTGTTTGGTACAAAATACAGAAGGAAACATTTATTTTTCCAAACTAGTACAGCACAAAATATCTTCTCAGTTTTACAGCAGACAGTATGAGGTTAGGGTGGTTTAGACCCCTCCTTGCTCCTGGGGGCAAGGACCAAATGTCACAAATTCCCCCTGCCTGACAAATCCAGGCAGATGCTGCCAGAACCTCCACACTCACTTGGAATCATAGAATAGTTAGAGTTGGAAAGGACCTTAAGGACATCCAGTTCCAACCCCCCTGACATGGGCAGGGACACCGCACACTAAACCATGTCACCCAAGGCTCTATCCAACCCAGCCTTGAACACTGCCAGGGATGGAGCATTCACAACCTCCCTGGGCAACCCATTCCAGTGTCTCACCCCTAACAGGAAAGAATTTCCTCCTTATATCCAATCTAAACTTCCCCTGTTTAAGTTTTAACCCATTACCCCTTGTCCTATCACTACAGTCCCTGATGAAGAGTCCCTCCCCAGCATCCTTATAGACCCACCTTCAGATACTGGAAGGCTGCTATGAGGTCTCCACGCAGCCTTCTCCTCTCCAGGCTGAACAGCCCCAACTTTCTCAGCCTGTCTTCATACAGGAGGTGCTCCAGTTCCCTGAGAGCACTTCCCCAGTACAAGAAGGGTTTGGGATGTAGAGGGTTAGTAATAAGCTCTGCACCACCTCAGTCAGCGGGGAACTGCAGCCCCTCTGCACAGGATGAGAGCAACATGGCTTGCCAGGAAGTGCAGAAGCCCTCTGTGTTTCCAGATAAAGCCCATCTCTTCCAGGCACTGATGCAGTGTTTGATGAGCTCTATGAGACTTCGCCACCCCCAAAAACCACTGCTGTCCGAGAGCAGTTGGGAAGGAATACTGGGAATAATGAGCAGTCATGTCCGTCCCATTCAGCAGCGCTGTGCTGTCACCAGCACACTATGTGCCAGGAGCGTGGTCATATCCCAAAGAATGCTTCCCCTTGAGCCCCCAGAGGAAGAACTCAGCTTTTCTCTAGAAAGTGAAGTAACCCCAATACTCCTAGCCCTGCTGTCACAGGAAAGAAGTTTATTCTATGTTAGTCCTAGATGTGACTAAATCCCTGCCCAGAAGCACACTCTTCTTTGCAAACCTCCCTTGGACCCTGAGGTATACACCCACCACTCTCACCCCAAGGAGGTGCTGCAACTGAAACAACACTGTGATCTCACAGCCAGCTCGCAGGGACCAGACTACCAGTCCTGTCCCAAACCATTGCTGCCTGCCACCCACCCTGCTCCATACACAAAAATAGCTGGGCTATTCAGCCTTCAGCACAAACCAGTAGCATCACTTAGGTCAAGAGAGCAAGAACAGGTTTCCCAGCCCACCTTCCTCACTTGTAATATCCATCAATGTCAGGACTGCAGCTCAATCAGCAAAGAGCAGCTCACCAGCTTCACACCTACATCTTGCTGCAGCTTATTACCACGGAGGCCTCTGGTGTTCATCTTACCCTCCTCTACTTCCCTGTTGTGGTTTAAGCACAACCCACCCAGCCACAAAAACACTGCAGCAAACACTGTGGCCCATTCTCAAGAGCTCTTTCTTTTTTATGTATAGGGAGACTATGCCCATCAGCTCAAGACACACACAGAACAAAACCCTGCTTTGCAGTGCCTGTCCAGGGCTGTGGGAGGGACAGTTTTTATTACTTTTCCCAGCTGTAGATGTTTGGTTTATTTCCATAAGATGTTTCAATGAGGCATCTCTCAAAGCTCTCTCCTCCACAAGAATCCCACCTGCTCCTTGCTTTTATTTCTGTTAAGAAGGAAACAAGACCTGCTAACACAATCACTGTGCTTACTTGCTTTGACATCCACAGAATCAGAGGACATATGCCTGCACACAACTCCAGCACTACACAAGAGCCATTTCCAAGTCATCTGCTTGGGTGCATATTCCAAAGTATGTTTGGTTTGGGTGGTTTTTTTTTTTGAGGGGGCTTGGAGTACAGATGCTTTCAAAATATGCCCATGAATCCCTGTGGAGAAGGTTGCAGAGCAGGCTGTTCAGACACATTATAGAAACTGTAATCAAAGGTGTGGAAGAAAAGAGCCAGAATTAGGATCCTCAAGCCAAGAAATAGCAGAACCCCACAGCACTGCTGCCTCAGTCTCTGCAAAAGCTTTACAACCCACCTCGCCCTACAGTGTGGTGAATGGTGTTCATCATGCTGCCGTAAGGAGCCTATCTAATGCTGCAGCTCAGGCCAGCTTACACACAGGAAACCCAGTGTCTGTAAACAGAGCATCAGGATGAAAAATACAGCACATGATGCTCCAACACAAGGGCTGGAGCATCACAGCGTATTTCTGGTGACATGACCTCTGAACCAGGACAGGGGAACCCAGGCCTTCCCGTGGCAGATGGCTGAGGAATAGATGTTGAACAGTGATGAGCCCATGAGCACCTCCTCTGCACAGCACCGGCCACCCCTGTGCCTTCACGGTCAGGATCCTTGGTCAATAAAAGGTTAAAAATCCACTTAAAAACCCCAAATGCCTCAAGACAGAGAAAGTCTTGATGCGCAACCCTCTTGTGCAAGAAGTACTCAAGGCTAAAAAACCTGAGAAAGAACCAAACCACAAAGCAAACTACAGCAAAGCTTTCTTTTTTTTTTTTTTGCATGAGCTCCTTCAAACATTTTTATCACAGTTTCTTTTGCCCACATATTTTGAGGAAACAACTTGTGGATTCTCTCACAAGCAGGAAAGGTCCCAACAGCAGGGGTAAGCAGCTCTTCAAAGCTGCATTTTTTAATACCAGAGCTCTTGTCTATTAAACTGCCAGATTAGGCTTATTCTCAGCAACACACCTCAACCCAGTCCAGGCAGAAGCAGGTACTGCACTGAGTTCCCTGCCAGACCTGCTGCAAAAAAAAAAAAACAAGAGAAAAATGTAATTTTGCAGCTGGGACTCTTGACTGTCTCCCAAAGTAGCATTAATCCACCTTACCTTCCTAAACTCCACCAGGAAATAGCTGCGAGGAAAGGGGAGGAGGAGGAAAGAGAACCACTTATGAAGCATCAGCTGCAGTCTAATTGGAGCTATTAGCAAGCTCTTAGTGGTGTTTATTAGCCTTTACCCAACGTTGCTGAATGAAGCAATCCTGACATCAGCCTTCTGGCTTGGAAAGCTGTGTTCACAACCTCAGCTCGAGGAAAAGAAGCATTCAGAAAGGTCAAACTGGTTATAATCACAGCTGTAGCTCTTCTACCCAGCTCTGAGCTTGTTTTGAGTTCATAGAAACCAATGTCCCTTATAAGCGGAACCACCCTGCACTGGGGAGGAATAGGATCTTCCAGTCAGAAGTCCATCATGGTACTTGCTGAGATGGAGGCCTCTTGCTCTGAGTTATGGCTGTTGAGTCATTTTGATTTGATGGCATCATGCTGCCTTTGTTCTTCTGGGAGCTGGGGATTGCCAACCGCCTGCCCTGGTGACTGGGGTGAAATGCACTCAGAAGACAAGGTAGTAGCAATCCATAAGCCTGGCTCATGGCAAGCTGACCATGAGTCGAGCAGGATTAAAATGAGATTTTCATCTTCTGATGCACAAAACATTCATCACTGGCTGCTGCTGGATGTCTTCAGCCTGTGAACAGTTTGTCTAACATGAGGTGTTTCTTAAACATGTCATGCCTTTCAAAGGACATGCAGTCAAGAGCTGCATGCCTCAAGCAGGGCTTATCTCCCTGGTGTCTCTTATAGTAACATATTTCAAGGAAGCTTATCATATAGAAGGGACATTTAAAAATATATGAATGTATGCTATAAATCAGCCTCTGCTGGGAAGGAGCAGGAGGAGGAAACCTGGGGGATTTAAGAAGACCTTAGAAGTAATGCAACGTGAAGAAAATTCTTGTGGAGGAATCTTAGCTATGGGTTTGCCACAGCTGGTAGTATCTAGTATGAGTGGGGCCAAAAAACACACGATAAATGAAAGCACTTGGTGAGTTTAGAACATCCTTAACCAGAGGAAACACTGAACTATATATCTTTCATAAGTGCATACATAGGTAAGATCTTCCATGTCTCTGTGCTGGATAAGCTGCCTTGCTTTTGTGGTCTAGCTACCACAATTCACAATCTATACAACAATTTCATTTCCAGATAAGCAGAAGCCAGTCTTTGTCATCTCTATAGATGGGTCTGACATGCCACAGATGGAGGAAACCCAACAAAGTCTTAACTCACCCAACATAAAGTCTTAACTTTTAGGGCTGACTGCCAGATCCATACTTGAAAAGCTGAGCTCTGACTCATTCCCAATGTGTGTAACAAACAACTGCTCTGGTCACAAGGTTTTGCAAGACAAAGATGTAGTCTTCAAAGTTTGTGGTTACAAAGAACTGCAGTTTGCTTTTGCAATTGCTTTGCAGAATGGCGTTGGTGGAAGCTACCTCTGGGACCTGGCTGATGTGACCACCTACTGCAGGCTGTTGGCTGACTCATGCCTTAGCCACCCAAAACAACAAAACTTGCAGTGTTAGCAGCACAGTTTCCCCTCTTGACAAGCAAACGTTGTACACCATGAAGGTGTTGCCGCAATCACAGCAACCTACAAGCAGCAGCAGCTCTTTTGGAAGACAGAACGTGGCGAAAGGAAACTTTGATTTTATCTTACTCACAGCTCAGACTCATGGCTTCCAAAAAACAGTCACGTTCAGCAGAGAAAGTCTGTGTCCAAGCTTTGCTCTCAACATTTCCTTGCACATCCTTCAGCCTGCAGGACACAGTGCTGGAAGGCGGATCCAGCCTGGTGGCTTATGCTCACCAAGCAGCCGTGCCAAGGGCTGGTGGGAGGGAGAACCTGATACAGCACTCCTGACCATGGCCCTTCTGCTGATCCATCCTGAGCATCTTGGAAGGGAGATGCCATATTCCTCGCTCCAGGTCCAAACATCACAGAGGTGCTGGGGAGGATGACCCATCAGAAAGGAAAGCGAGCTGTCTATGGGGAAATCTTGCTCCCACCACCACGCTGGGTACCACTGCAGAGGTCTCAGACCACATCATCTCATCCAGCCCTGGGCACAGCAGCTCTCTGTCTGTTACCACTTCAGCCCTGTGCAAACCACCCTGCCCTGCAAGGAAGCACTGCTTGGTATCAAGGATGCCTGCAGGTGATGATGTGAAATGTGAATAAGGAAAGTAGTTTATGCAGAAAAGTAATGATCCCTTCGGGATCTTCCCAGTTTATATGCAATTATACCAAGCAGCTAAAAAGGAGGAGTGCTCAGCAGAGAACGGAGGTGGATAATCTGCTGGTGTAAAACCCCGCAGCTCCCTGAAGCAGTAAGCAATGTAAACCAGAGCTGACATTTGAGGATGCATATGATCTTCTAGTTTACGTGTGTCAGGACATCTGCTACCACAGCCCCATACAGGTAAAACTATCTATCTTCACCTGCGGCTGCTACTGAGTGTAGTGTAGACGAACTCATTGAGCTGAGCCTCACGCAGGGGATTCCACTCCTTCATGCCAATTTATAGCCAATTCAGGATTTAAGCAACTATTATTTATCACCAGGGCTCCCTGCTAACCGTTACCACATCAGTGAGGATTTACTCAAAATGAGTTTCCAAATTAGCAACTCTGCATTCATTTCTTTTATGTTCGTTTCGCTTTATAAGGAATGTCAGCAAATCACAGGATCCCACTCAGGGTAAATTACCTGGGGATCTTATGCATGACAGCTCTGCTGAGCGGCAAAGGCGGTGTGGCAGCGAGCTCGTCATGCTCACAGTGCCTATGCCACCAGGGAGAAGGAGCCCAACTGCTTCCAAAGGATGAACAGGTTGGAAAGATGCTTAAAACATCTTGCAAGTATTGATGAGGCTTCCCCGTGCAGACTAAAGCATGCCCAGGCCATGCACCCATCTCCCAACTCCTGCAAGTAATTCCCCTGCAAGTAATTCCCCTCTTCCCAAATTTATCAGTACTGAATGAGAAAGGAAACAAGAGCCCAGTGTCTTTCTGTCTGACTTTATTCCCTGAGACAAGAGCTTTTCTCCCTGGCAGAAAACAAATTATGGTTCGTTTTGTTTAGAAGTGAAGAAATAGCAGGTCTTGACTCCATAGATTTCTGGCAACAGTTATGCCTTGGAAAAACACTTGTATTGGCAGAAAAGTGAAAGACTCCTGTCTGCTGCAGCAGCCTTTGGCCTCTGTGGATGTTTCTTCTGATCCCAGGCAGATGGAACACGTCTTCTATCCTGCACCACTCCATCAATTTCTGCTCCTGGATCCCTGTGCCAAGTCACACTGGCCTCAGCAATGGGGCAAGAGTCAAAGCCACCAATTCCCACGAAGAGGGCTGGGAACAGGAGGTAATGTGCAGGCAGCAGAGTCAGAGATGCCAAGGGATGTCACTTCTCTTTGAAGAGGCGGAGGAACAGGATGGCCAAGATGTGATGACAAGGACCGGCTGCTCCATCATATCAGAGGGGCAGCACAACCATCAGTTTTCTCAGGATGCAGCTTGAAGGTGGTGGTCCCATGCAATAGCATGGGGTATTTTCAAGTTGGGCTTTGAAGGACAAGGGCTGTCTGGTAAGTTGAGAGACAATGCAGAAACACAAGGCAGAAAGACCAGAACTAGATGTTTGCTCCAGGTGACATAGGTTAAAATGAAATTGTCCCTGGCCATGCCCAAAGGTGCAAATGAAGACATAGGGGGGATGGAGCACCTCTTTGCTTTTCTTGCAGTCCTGGCTGGGATGTGGTTTAGACTCCACTTATCACTAAGGATGGGTTTAGCCTCCAGTACCAGAATGACAAGTGTCTCACTGGTCATGAGCAGCCAGCCAGGACCTAGCAAGTAACTGAGCTGAGCTTTGCACAGCAGGGCACAAGCAGCTGCCCTGTAACAGCTTCCATGACAGCAGAAGAGGAGCCAGCATAGACACAGCCAGTGGGATGGCTTTGGATGTAGGGAGGGAGGACAGTGCTGCTGGAAGAGCTCTGCAGCCCTCATCCTTCCCAAGGCAGAGACACTAATGATTTGGGTAGGACACAGCTCCAGATACCAAGATTGGCATTCCCAAAACTCTGGTGGGTTTTGACAAAAGCTTTGACCTTTCTTTTTTTCTTCCTTTTTTTCTTTTTTCTTTTTTGTCATGTAGCCAACTAAACATTCCTGTCCAGCCGCCTTCAGCCTTGTGTTACCATTCCTTCCCTAATGAATCTTTTGGGACATACAAGCCCCAAATCCTGCACAGCTCTCATGCTCCCTTTCTGCCCTGTAAGATGGCTGCAGCCAGTTTTCATGTTAAATTTCCCAGCCTGGAAACTCAGCAGCACGAGGAAGGGCAGGTGATGTTCCTTTCCATATCCACCTTCAATGTAAAAGCAGGGCAAATCTTGCCGAGGGGCCGGAGTGGAACAGCCACCACACTGAGGCTCTGAACATTGCTCAGTACATGTTTGTGCCCCAGAAACAGAAGAGCAATGAAGACAAAAATAAACCACTAGGACTATTTCTCATCTTGATCCTTGGGAATGAGGAATTTTGTTCCTTTTGGTCCTTATTCCACCCTGTGCTGCTGCTGGGGCCCTCAGTCCCAGCCCAACACCGTGCTGCTGGCTGTACTCCTGATGGATTCTGTGTTCCTAAGTATAAAACCAGCTGCTTGGTGAGTCTGGACACTTGTACACAGATGACTTGGAGTCTCCTTTGGTGGTTTTGCACCTTTGATCTCTGGAACAGGTATTTCAAGACCAGAAAGGGCTTTTGTGCTGGCCAAGGAAATCACTACATAAAAGGACAGAGAGAGCTGATAAGGAATGGGGTAAAAGGATTGTGCTGCAAAGGAAAAAGGCAGCCTACTCCTATGCCTTGAAACGCCCAAGACATAAAGTGAGAACTGGCAAGGGTCAGGCTGAATGGCTCTTGCAGAGGATGGCAATAACAAGAGAAGTTTTAGCCATCTACATCAGAGGAAAAGGGAAGGAGAAATGGAGCTGCTGTATAGAAAGGATGGGGTATAGATCAAAGTCAGTCCAAGCATGATCCAAAACTAATGAACCCTTCTAATGTCCTGTCACTCTGCAGAGGACACAAGGATAACAGGAACAAGGAAATGGACATGGAAATGTCACATCCCTCCAGATAAAGAATCAGAGGGCTGCAGGCTCATATCACGGGCACGGCTGGTTCCTATCCCCTAGTATTGAACACCTGACACTGAATCCTCCCCATCAAAATGTTCACAAAGCATAGGGAAAGAAGAACATAAAATTACTTAAAATAGGGAAAAATGCCACTCCACCAACTACAGACCATTCAGGTGTCCCATGCCACATGACAGGCATAAAGCAAAGTCCAAGGAAAGGGGGAATTGGAGCTCAGAACATATCACCCGGTTTTCTACTCCCCCAAGGGTGCCAAATAGCCTGATAACACTCACAGATAAAATATTGCCTCTGTAAATGGGAGAAATGGAGATCTAATCTACTTCAACAGCAGCAAAGTGTTTGCTAGAGCACCACACCACTAAGTCACTGAGAGCCTGGGGGGACAGGAACTAGACTATGGGCTGTGAGATACCAGCATCCAGCTCCTGGATCAGGCTTGGGACAGGTTTATGGATGATGTCAGCCCAAAATCAAATGGGCTCATGGTGTTCAGAGGCCTGAAATATCCTGGGTAAACGGAGAGCCAGAAGCAAGAGTCTTCAAGCATCGATGTGGGAGTACCCCAGCTTCAGGACTTGGGACCACTTTTGGTCCGAACCAAAAATGCTTGGAGGAACATCTCATTCTGTTCAACTCCTGCGTGCCTGCAGCATACACGTGAGTACTAATTCTCCTTCCCGTAACTGAAGTACTTGACTTGCCACCTGATTTCTAGACATTTCTAGGAAAACCCTAGCTCTGCTAAGCAGAAAGTCACAACTGCAATGTGCCTAATCAGAAATGCTAATCTAATGCTGCCACGCAGAGCCAGCACACATAGCTCCCATTGCTAGCAGGCTCTTGCTGCGTAGTCCAGCAGCAGCATCAGTATGTTTATTTGGAGTGATTTACCCTTGAATTTCTCACCCTCCTTCTGAGAAGGTGTCACCCCCAAACACGAATTGCGCCACTGCACCTACCAGTGCATCTCCAGGCTTTGGAGAGGGCTGGGAATCAGGCTGGGTGCGGGGGACTCAGCTTGCAGAGGGCCGCAGGGGAGTACTGGAACAACAGCAGCTCTAATTCAATTTCTACCCATTTTCCATTTTGCCTTCACTTCATTACAGATTATTATTTTTAAACTGAAGCAAACAGAGTCGATTCTGCTTCCAACTGAATTGCCCACAGGCTGGCTCCTCTTCTCCATCCAGCTGATAGAATCTTTACAGCAAGCTTCTTCTCAATGGACCTGCAGTCTTCAGGGAGCAATGCCTTGGCTGGGGACAATCTCTCGGCTTTTACAGAAAGCAGCATTTAATTTCCAGTTACTGGCTGTTTCATGCAGCTTTTCAACTAGATAAGACATGGCATCCATGCACAGACTTAAAAGAGAGTAATTCTCAGCTTGAACTGGGACAAAAAGTTGGGATCTCAATATACTTTGCAAGCAAGGGGGGTCGTTTCCTTTCTGTTTCCAGCCTTTTTACAGGCCAGCATAACTGTTATGCTGCAGATGAGCACAAATTTCTAAATAAGTTGTTTCAAAGCAAAACCCAAACCATTCTCCTTTGAGAAGTGTCAACGTGAGACTTCACAAAGATTTCTAAATATAGATACTTCAAAAGAATAAGTGCAATAAGAAGACTGGTCAAAACGTATCGTTTTCTGCACAGACTGGCAGCTTTGAAGAACTGGTGCTGTCTGACGAAAAGATACTAAACTGCAAATGTTCCCTGGGCACATGCACAGCCCCAGCTCACCCACTGAGGCTGTTTGTCCCAGCACAGGGGACTGTGCAAGTCCTGTCCCTCCACCAAGCAATGATGACGGCCTGACAGCCTTTCCCTGGCCCATCATGGTTCTCTCTCACTTTCTTCACTACCTGACTCACAGTCTGGGGTCCCACTGTGGGGTACATATAGGTTGGAACAAGGGGAGTGCTGAACAAGTGCTGGACTTGGCTCAGCTGCCCAGCCAGGACCTCTTGCAATTAATTGCTCCACCCCTTGTTTCTTGTATAACTGAAACTCGATGGATCTTCCCAAAGGGCAGCAGATCACAGCTCTGATCCCATCACCTCCTGGAAGGCTGCAAATGTTACTTTAGGTTCCCCCAAATCTCATCCCCTGCATCCCTTTGGACATCCCACACTGCACCAGTGAGAGCCCTGCAGGGAGGGTATCAGCTCCTGGGCAGCAATCAGCAATGGGGACAGTCCTGCCTTTCCCAAGCAAGTCCAGTTGAATCTCACTAAAAGATTTATGAGAGTTTTTGTACTGATTTGAGCTGTTCAGGAGCACTCCCTGCAGACTCCAGCCGGGTTCCTGGGGAGGACGTGCTCTTCTGAGATGTTTCCTATTTTTGTCGGCACGTTGAGCATAGCCCCTAAATTAAAATCTTCTATTTCAAGTCTATTTTGATCAACTCCACTTCCTTCAGTTTAAAAGATACAATAAGAAGAGATGAGCTCTTACAAATTAAAAGCCTCTCTTGCTTAACAAATTGTATCTCTGCAATAATTAATTGTCTGGTGAAAGATTCCAGCCCTACGTTTTTGGCCTCACTCCAGGCTGTGTAAGGTTAAAGAGAAAAAAAAACATATAGTTGGGCATTTGTTGCCTCACCACGCCTGCTCTCATGCATCCCATAGAAAGCAGGATGGATCTGACCAGTCCACATGGGGTGAGCCCATCCTGCGCACAACAGTGTCTGCTCTCCTCCATCAGCACGGCTGTCACCAAGTGTCTGTCACAAGCCTCAGCTTGTGGTTTGCAGGGAGGAGGCTTCAGGCTCATTTCACTGCCTGCTTTGGGTTTTTTCCATAGGTGATTATTAAGACAGCAGGTCTTCTGCTGTGAGCTACTACTGCTGTTCCCAAATTGATGGTTCCCAGAAGCTGATGGTGTGTAGGAGTTGTATATATGGAAGATGTGAAAGCAATGCATGGGTTCGGGGGGGGCTGCTGGTAGCGATGCCTCCTGCCGGCTGCTCCAGGACTTTGGGACTTTGTCTAACCTAAACTTCCCTAAGAAATTCCTTCCAGTGCATGAATATCCTTATGATGAGTAGGTCTAATTAATCTTAGTTTCTGCAGGCTAAGTCCTTAGCTGCTACTTCTCCTACCATAGGGTAGGGAGCTTCTACCTTCCTTCCCTATGGTAAAACTGCAAATACATGCAGGTTATGACATCTGCTCCTTCAAAATCTTTTCAGTCTGTTCCCACAGGACACATCCTCCAAGCTTCTATCATCTATCTTGTGTGCTCCTCACCCTTGAGGCTTTTCAGCCAGAAAAGCCTCCATGAAGAGGAAGGTTGTAGTTGGCTTTGCTCACCCTGGTAAATGCTCCAGGTCCTCCTACACACAGGAGACAAGGGGGAGGCTGGTATCAGCCAGGACTGTAAGAAATCCCACCTGCAGCAGAGGACCTTCACACTGCGGGTCAGGACAGAAAGATCCTCTCTTTATTTACCCCATTCCACGTGCAGCTGCCAGGGAGCAGCATCCCACAGCCACAGCTCCTATTTTTACAGTTACCTGCAGCAGGACATGAGATGGAGATTGCAGCAGTCTGGCACAGAGGCACAGCATGTTGCAGGCAGGGTGTCACAGTCTCTGTCCTGGCCTGGCTGAGCTTGCCCACACCACTCCAATGCTGCTCCCTCCCCAGGTGCCCTCACTGTCAGGGTCTATGTGCAGGGATGTGCTGGTGACATGCATCCACACTGGTGCCCAGCTCTTAATCTCATGCTGGGAGCAGCTCAGCACTGCACTGGCTTCAAAGATTCATAGAATGTTTGGGCTGGAAGAGACCTTAAAGCTCATCCAGTTCCATGCCAGGGACACCTTCCACTAGACCAGGCTGGTCAAATCCCCGTCCAACCTGGCCTTGAACACTGCCAGTGATGGGGCAGCCACTTCATGGTCCCTCTGCAACTCTTGGTCTTTGCAGGGCCTCCCCGTGCCCCATCTGCCTGCACTGGCAGGTCAGGCAGGACCTCAGCAGGGTCCAGCTCAGGGCCCTGGCAGGGTGTGAGCTGGCAGCAGCAGGCGGCAGCCTGCCTGGGCAATGCCCATGTTTGGTCCATGCTCCGAGCTTTGTGCTCCTTGCCAGCCCCATGGCGGTCCCGCTGCAGGGGAGCGTTTTGCTAATCCTTTCATTCCTGCCCCCATGCCCAGCAGCACAGCCTCCTGCCAGCTTTGCAGGGAAATGCTTCAGAAGCACCTGGGGCTCAAGCAGGCAAACCTCCCTGTGAAGCAACGGGGCAGGAGCTGGCTTCCAGCCCTCAGGAATCCTAAACCACTGAACCAACGTCAGAGCAGGATCTTATATATGCAGACCAGAATCCACTGGCCCCAGGCTAAAACCTGACAGCTCATTCCTGCAAGCACTGGCAGACCTTTCTGACACAGGGCCCAAAAATGCCAGGAGGGTGTGAGCAGAGCTGCATCCCAAAGTATCCCATCCTCCCACTCTGCTCCTGGACTAAGAGTAACCCATGGCTCAGCCTCCTCCACACCCGGAGGGGGCAGCAGCTTTGCACAGCCCCAGATTAACCTGCTGCCCCAAGATATCACCCCGGCCACGATCTCAGCAGCATTTGGAAGAGGATTAAACATTTATCTGGAAAACAAGGA